GCGGGGGATGGGGTCGGGGGGGGGTCCGGCTCAGAGTGGGCTCGGAGCTGGGGGTCAGGGCGGCGGGGGATGGGGTCGGGGGGGGGTCCGGCTCAGAGTGGGCTCGGAGCTGGGGGTCAGGGATGGGGGTGGGGGATGGGGTCGGGGGGGTGCCCGTCTCAGAGGGGCTGGGCTCGGCACTGGGAGTCAGGGGGTGCCCGACTCAGAGGGGCTTACTCCCTCTCCCTGAGCCTCAGCGAGCTGCGTCCAGGAGCTCCTGCCGCTCGGCCCGCTGGAGCTCGCAGCCCCGCCCCCTTACCACGCGGTTCCGAGCGGGAGGACCTCAGGCACCGCCCGAGCCAAGCCACTGCAGCACTGTCCAGGGCCGCTCCTGGATGCGGCATGCTGAGGCGCCGGGGGATGGGGGAAGGTGGAGGTGGGGGGGGAGCCTCTGACATTCTCGTGGGGGCCCCTGTGGGGCCCCGCCCCCCCACCCGGGCGGCCCTGCTCATTATCCATGTACATGTCTAAGGGAGACTGCTGGCAGGAAGTAGCAGAGCGAAACAATTGTACAGCTCCATCCTGTGTGAATAGGAGCTCAGACTATTTAGCTGATCAGAGAGACGGTTAAGATGTGATTTGATTGTGGTCTAGTACCTACAAGGAGAGAAGATTTGTGATCGCGAAGGGATCTTTAATTTAGCAGACAAAGGCAGGAAAAGGTCCAGTGGCTGGAAACTGAAACTAGCAAATTCAGACCAGAAATAAGGTGCACATTTTTAACAGGGAGGGTAAATGACCATGGGGGCAGCTCACTCAGAATGCGGTGGATTCTCTATCCGTTTAAGTCCAAGTTGCTTGGTTCTCTAAGAGAGATGCTCTGGCTCAAAGTAGGAGTCCCTGGGTGAGGGTCTCTGGCCTGTGTTCTGCAGGAGGTCAGACCAGATGATCTACTGGTCCCTTCTAGCCTTAAATTCTATGACTCTATATGGTTTCCAGGGGGTGTTTCACTTCCCATTTTGAAGCAGTTCCTCCTATCCCAGTCCCTGGTTGTGTGTGGGGCTCGCTACCTGAGTGGAGCAGTTCTATAGGGAGACACATTTCACCATTTCTGGGAAGGTAGGAGAGTGTTCAGTTTGGGACCATTTTCATCCTTCCTACCGTGTCTTTAAGACTGCTGCAGGGATGAGGCCTGGCCTGCTGGTTAGAGCACCAGCCCGGTACTCAAAAGACATGGGTGATGTTCCTGGCTGCACCATTGATCTTCGGTGCTGTGACCTTGGTTGTGTCACTTCCTATCTCTGTGTCAGTTTCCCAGCCTGTAAAACGGGGATAATGCTATTGAGCAGCCTGGGTGCTGATACTCGCTGCAGGGGCACGCACTGGGAGGCAGTCCCATTTGGTAAGTGCTTTGAGACCTGGGGATGGAAGGCGCTAGAAAACTGCAGAAGGTTATGGTAGATAACTCCACTCTGGAACGTGGAGTATTAGCCTGGGTGTTTCCTCTGCTCCACCAGGGCACCAGGAAACAGGCACAGAAACGAAACTGGCCCCACCCTCGCTCATCATGTCTGGTACCACTTTCCGTGCAAAACCCCCGTGCTAGTTTGGTGCGACTGGCTGCTCTGTGCTTAAACTGAGAACAAGCCTTTCCCTTTCCCTAGACACTGTGGCATTCGCCTCCCTGAGGGTGGCAGCTCCCTTTGACTCCCACTCCCTGGGAATGTTTGTAGGCGGGTGCAGATGAAGCCCCAGGCCTGGCACCTTGTGCTGTGCTCCTTGGGCACCGAGTCCTTGGCAGGAAGCCCAGAGCCTCCCCACGCTATTTCTGTTTGGCTGCAATCCAGGCTGAGAATCCAAGGGGAGGTTTCCAGGCCCAGCTGCAACAACGTTTACGTCCTGCCTGGGTTTCTAACTCTGCTTCACTTCCTTGCCCAAGCCTAATTTTTCATCCCTGTTTTGGGAAGTTCTTGTTTGTTTCTGCGGGTTTCTCTGCAAGGCTCTGGCTGGCCCCAGCCGTGTGCATCAGGGTGGGGGAACCGAGCCTTCTTTCTGACTCGGTGTTTTTCCTGGCTCCTCACTGGGGCCCGGTGGCTGCTAGCCAGTGGTTTCCCCTCTGCCTGGCCCTGACACTAAGCTGCGTTGTGGAGTGCAGAGGGAGCCTGGAGCCTGAGTGAGCAGGGCAGCAGCAGCTGGGCACACAATGGTGCTGTGTATTCTGGCCTTTTGTCACTTGGGAGCCAAGCTTATTGTCTATTAAAAACAAATAAGCAGCAGTTAAGTGGGCACCCTGCCATGTGATTTATGTAGCAAGTGAATGCTGGTCTGTTCTCCCATGTGAGGGACTGGGGGTTTGCTTTTGGGTTAGTTTGTTCTCCAAAAAAGCCTAAAGCTCCATCCACAGCCCGTGTTTGCTTTACAGTCGCTTTCGCACTGCAGAGGGTGTTGAGGGACGGACGCCAGCTGCTGAGTTATTTTCTGCCATTCCGATGCTGCCCTTGGTGAAATGGCCTTTCCTCCCAGCCAGGCTTCGCCTGCGGCAGCCTCCTGAGCCTGCATTCATGGCCTCTCTGCCTTGCCTCAGGAAGGAATATGCTGCTTCAGGTGCAGCTTTGTGACTCCAGGCAGGATGAAAGGAGAGTCCTGGCCTCATTGATCGGAGGGATGGAAAAGCCTTGCTCCTGTCTAGCACATTTCTCTGGGAGTCAGTGTAGGATTGCTCCTTACAGCCTAACCTCTGGGGAAATGTCTTCACTAACGATGCACCTTCCCTCCTTCTCTCTGGGAGACTAATCCCTCAACTCTCCTCCGTCCTTCTCCAAACATCAAGTGCTGCAACAAATGGCAAAGGGCTTGTGCGAATCCAGGTGGCGGGGGAGTGGCTGGTTCCCACCTTCCACAAACGCATCTCTCCCGCCCAGCAGCCAAGTGGGCTGCAGAGCGCCCTGCCTGGCGCAGAGGGGCACGGAAGGGAGTGAAGAGCTGGCTTGGGCCCAAGTTGCTTTGTTTTGATTGCTTCATTTTGGTCCTGGAAAAATCAAAGTCCTGTCGTGGAGGGAGGGGAAAGTGCACAGCTGAGGGTGAGAGATCGGGGCATGTTGTCTGGTTAACCGCAATAGGCCTCTTCACCAGCGTGAATGCCATATAAGGACAGCTCGAGCCCTGCAAGCCAACGGGTACAAGCCAGGAGCCTCTGCTCAAACAATTCATTAACCTCAAACTTGTGCTGAAAGGAGGGGCGGAGAGAGAGATGTGCACAGTGGTTACATTTTATCTCTTCCCCCCCCCTCACCCCCACAAGTTCTGCCTTATAAAGGAGGCAGGAGGGGCTGGGCTGGGGGCCTGTTTCTTAGGGGTTCTAGAATGAGGGCAGAGTAGCAATGGCTCAGCAGCAGCAAGCAGTGGACACATGTGTCTGCCTGCTGACTTCTACCATGTTTCCCTTCCCTTTGAGTCTCAGGAAGTACCTAGCGCCCCGCCCCTTCCACCCGGACAAGCAGGGTGAAGGGGGGATCTGGAGGCTGCTGGAGCTGGGCTCCCTCCCCTCCCGCTGTGCGATTGCCTTGGTGTTGCTGTTGTGTGAACGAACGTGCTGCAGGCAAACCACAGAGCACAAAAACGCTACAGCTGGTCTGACTGGGTGTCCTGACACTGCTCTGAGGACCAGCAAGAGCCCACGTGGGCTGGGCTGACGTGCCCCATCAGTCTCTTCTGAGTGGGGCCCACGACCGTGTCAGATTCCCAGCCTGGCAGCTATAACGGGACGTGCGCGCTTTGCTTCAGGCCCCTTCAGGTCTGCTTCTGTGAACTATCTGGCAGCGTGATTCCCGTGGGTCTGGTGAGCAGGTAACCTGCTGTCAACTGGCAGGGACGGAGCGAGCTTGGGTGCTGCAGGACGAGCGTGTGTATGTGCAGCTTTGTGATCCCAACGCACCCGGTGCCTGGGCTGGTGGCTGGTCCAGATAAGGAGCTGGGGTTGGAATGGGCCTGTGGGTCCCTGTGTGCCAGGGGCTGAGGAGGGCTCTTTAGGAAAGGAACAACATCCAGTGCAGGACATCAAATTCCAGTCCTCTGAATCCCCATAGTGTTACTTTCTGGTGGCTGGGAGAGGCCCAGGGTGCTGCAAGTTCGCACCCAGAGATGAGCTGGGGCCTGACAGAGACTGTGGCCTGCTGAGACTGAGCTCTGTGTGAGAGAGATTTGATTTGGTGCAGCAGGATGGGTGTCCCATATTGCGCCAATGACCTTGCAATGTGCAGACTGCAGCATCTGTCCCTGGGCAGCCCCTGCTCTGAGTGACATTGCAGGGCACAAATAAACCACTTCACATCCCCATGCACGGTGCTGGTTGCATTGTACGGGGTTTCACAGATTCAGAATTTAAGGCCAGGAAGGACCATTAGATCATCTAGGATGACTCTCCTGTATAACACAGGTCATAGAATTTCATCCGGTTATCCCTGTACTGAGCCCGATAACGTGTTTGGCTAAAGCAAACATGGCCTGGATGCTCTTCTGCAAGACATCGAGAGGTGGAGAACGCACCACTTCTCTCAGTGGTTTGTCCCTCACTTAACAATGTGTGCCTGATTTCTAATTTGAATTTCTCACTCCAGCTTCCGGCCATTGGTTCTTGTTTTGCCTTTCTCTGCAGTACTGGTCTCACCAACACTGTATGCAGAGGTCAAATCAGCTTCCTGCTCCTACTCCTTAGCACTCAAGAAAGAGATCTTGGAGTCACTGTGGCTAGTTCTCTGAAACCATCCACTCAATGTGCAGCGGCAGTCAAAAAAGCAAACAGAATGTTAGGAACCATTAGGAAAGGGGTAGATAATAAGACAGTTAATATCGTAATGCCACTATATAAATCATGGGTACGCCCACACCTGGAATAATGTGTGCAGTTCTGGTCGCCCTGTTTCAAAAAAGATATATTAGAATTGGAAAAGGTACAGAGGAGAGCAACAAAAATGATTAGGGGTATGGAACAGCTTCCATATGAGGAGAGATTTAAAAGACTGGGACTGTTCAGCTTAGAAAAGGGATGATTAAGGGTGGGTATGATAGAGGTCTATAAAATCATGAATGAGGTGGAGAAAATGAATAAGGAAGTGTTATTTACCCCTCCACATAACACAAGAATAAGAGGTCACCCAATGAAATTAATAGATATCAGCTTTAGAACAAACAAAAGGCAGTACTTTTCCCACAAAACACACAGTTAACCTCTGAAACTCATTGCTAGGGGATGTTGCCAAAATTATAGCAGGATTAAAAAAAGAATTAGATAAGTTCATGGAGGATAGGTCCATCAAGGGCTATTCGGCAAGATGGTCAAGGATACAACCCACTGCACTGGATATCCCTAGATTCTGGCAGCCAGAAGCTGGGAATGGGCAGCAGGGGATGGATCACTTGATGATTCTCTGTTCTGTTCATTCTCTCTGGGGCACCTGGCATTGGCCACTGTTGGAAGACAGGACACTGGGCTAGGTGGACCATTGGTCTGATCCAGTATGGCCGTTGTTATGTTCAATCTTTGTGTCATCCACAGATTTTATTAGCAGTGACTTTTTTTACTTTCAGATCACTAGTAAAAAGGTGAAATAGCTTTGGGCCTAGTACTGGCCCCTGCAGAGCCCCACTAGAAATGCCCCCATTCGAAGCTGATTAATTGACAACTATGTTTTGAGATCTGTCAGTTAGCTGGTTCATCCATTTAAAGTGCGCGTCATATTAGTGTGTCATGCTAAAGTTTGAATCCGCATGTTCTGTGGCACGAAGTCCAGCTCCTTGGTGTAGCGTTGTGTCTGACTTTCCAAGGTGCGGCGTCCCCACCCGCTGAGGCCCAGGTTTGCTGAGGTTGTGCCTTTGTTTTTTCACTTGCACTGCAAGTGCTCAGCACCTCTGAAAATCCGGCCATGTGCAAACGTTGCTCTCGTGCTTGCATGGGGCAGGTGTGTTGTTCGGCTGGGCTAATAAAATATCATTTGTTCGTGGCAAGGGGCAGGAGCAGATTAGAGGTTGGGCTACTAAATTCCTTTGGCTGTTCTGCCAGGCTCAACCATGCACATGCTGTCCGCTCTCCCATCCCCAGGCTGTTTGCAGGTTTCCAATTGTTCTCCTTTTGTTTCAGAATGGAGGGGAAGGAGCAGACGGAGGCGATGTGGCCACTCACCCTCTTCTGAGACGCTCCCAGAGCTACATACCCACCTCTGCCTCCAAGCCGTCCACAGGGCCACCTGTCCTCAAGAGCGGCTACTGCGTGAAGCAGGGGAATGTGGTGAGTGCCTGTTGCAGAGTTGCACTGAGTCCTTCATGGAGCAGAGCACTGCGGGGGGGGCTTGAAGGCGGCTTGATTTTATTGCTTCTGAGCCTCCTCTTGGTTCCCCCACACCGCGTCGCCTGAAAGGGGAGCTTTTCACTTCTCGAGGTCCATGGATCATGTTGGCGTGAACAGTTGCTCTGTGTAGGAGGAGGGAGTGGGGCAGTGTTGGTGCAGAATAGGTCCTGGTGTCAGAGCAGTGGTAGGTGGTTCAGCACCCTCAGTTATGAGCTGCTAGCTCTGAGCTTTCTGTTCCCCAGTGGAGCAGGCTCAGGGCTTTCACCAATGCCCCTTCTTTGGAAGATGTGACCCCTAGGTTCTCAGGATCCATTTGTTTTTTCTGAGGGGCTGGGGAGGCTGGAACTCAACCCTGTTCTCTCTGTTTTTCAGAGGAAGAGCTGGAAACGCCGGTACTTTGCTCTTGACGACTTTACCATCAGTTATTTCAAGTGCGAGCAGGTAAGCAGCCCCCTCTGGCTCACTGTTCTCTGGGTGACCTTGTCCACTTGTCCCTTCCCTCATGGGTGTATTGGGCTTGGCATTTGCAAGGCTGCGTTTTTGGCTTCTGTTAAAATCAATCAAAATTTTGAACACAGAAAATATGTGGGAGAAAACCCCACGTTTGGGGCTAAAGCTGAGAACAAATCCCATGTACTGCAGGGGTGCAGGGAGCAGGTGCAGTGGCTGGGCTTAAGGACAGGCAGGAGAGCTGTGACTTTGGCACAAATGCAGCTCAAAGCTGTGCTGTCACAGAGGCTGTTCCACTGCCTGAACCACTATGGAGTTCTGAGTCCTGTTTCTGCAAGCAAGAAACCTCACGCACATGCCTGCATGCTCACCTCCCAATATATGCATACCCCCCAACATACCCACCACAGCACACGTGCTGGCATGCACTATCACAACTGTAATTGGCCATGGATGCATTTAGAGGACAAACTAGAAGAAGGCTTCTAACCATCAGCGAGGGGCGTGAGGCTCTGGAACAGCCTCCCAATAGCACTGAGGGCAAGTAATCAGTCTAGTTTTAAAACGGAGCTTGATAAGTTTACAGGTGGGATTATGTGACGGGGGTTGCTTGCGGCCGTGCCCCCCTCATGCCCGTGAGATGCCAATTTGACTTCCCAAGACTGGAGACAGACAGGAGAGGAAGGTGCAGAGCAAAGAATGGAAAGTGGGCGAATTGAATGTGATTCAATAGATTAAAAAAAACCCCGCAAAACCTTGCCGTGCTCATCTTCCTTGTCAGTCACTGTTCACTGGGTGCTGCTTCTGGGTTAGGGATTGGAGGGAGGAGGTGAGAGATGCTGCATGGAGCCGCCATTTGGGAATGCTCCCGCCCAGTGACATCTCTCCTTATTCCAGCCAGGGACCAAGGAACCTGTCACCCCAAGACTCCATCCATGGAGGCTTTGCTGAAGGTTGCTCTTGGGTCTCACAATTCAAAGTTCCTGGGCGCTAGAGTGGGCTCCCAGTGCCACCAGAGCAGCCCACTAGGTTGATACAGAACCACTGACTCTGTTTTGTCTTGTCTCCCCAGGACAAGGAGCCCTTGCGTTCGATCCTCCTGAAGGACGTCCTCAAGACCCACGAATGTCTAGTCAAATCTGGGTAATGCCTTTTCCTGCACTTCTGTTGGATTCGGTCCATTTAGACGTGAGGTGGCAGTGGCTAAGAAAGGACTTTATCCTCCGAGGAGCTAGCCCGGGTGTCCCAGCCAAGTTCCAGTGGGGTGGCTGCATCCTGCCTGGCCAAGGACACCCCTGTGGTTTTGTGGATGGTTCTTTGCTTCCTGTGCGAACCTGCCCTGTAGCACTGCCGCTAAACAGGGTACGTCTGCACAGCGAGCGGCTGTCCATGGCATCGAGCCTCAGAGCCAGGGCCAGCAGCCACGGCACTAACAGTAGCTGTGTAGACATCGCGGGACAGAGCCCGAGCTCCAGCCCGATCTGCCATGTCTACAAGGCTGTTTGTGGTGCAAGCCTGAGTCTGTCGACCCAGGTCTGAGACTGATTGCTGCAGGCTGTGTAGACATGCCCACAGTGCTGTGTTACAACCCAGCAGTGGATGGATCGGCAGGATGGGCTAGTGGCTAGAGCCCTGTATGGGCACTCGGGGCACCAGGGTCCATTTTCTGGCTCTGCCACAGGCTTCCTGAGTGATTTTGGGCAAGTCATGTAATCCCCCTGTGCCTCAGTTTCCCATCTGTAAGTGGAGGTGCAAGCAGTGCCCTGCTGCATAAAGTGGCTATGAGGGTATGTGCTCAGATACTGCAGTGAGGAAGAGACCCAGTGTTAGGAGGAGGGGGAGGGTGACATGGGGACCCTCTGACTGGAGCAAGTATACAAGGAAAGAAGGGGAGAATTACGGAACGTTAAGGAACAATGAGAGAGTCTGACCAATCCACAGCGGCCCATAGGGCTCCTTTGGGGGGACAGTACTAGGGCATGAGTGAGGACTGGTAGGTCCTAATCCCAGCCCTGGTACTGACTCTCTGTGTGAGCGTCAAGAAATCACCTCACCTCTACATGCCTCAGTCCCCCACCTGGAAAAGGGATGTGATGAAGAGGGGCATGTAAAGGATGCAAAGGGCAGATTGTAGTTTAAGTTGCCACAACTGAGTTCCCAGCCAGGGCTGTCACTACCTGCTTCTCCTCAGATCATGTGTTCTCTGATGCCACTCAGAGTCATCCTTCCTCGTTTGAGTTACGCTGTGTCTCACTGGAATTCCCCAGTGGTCACATTTCACAGCCTCCCCTGTGTCACAGGTTTGCTGCTGATCTCAGGCAGTTTTTCAGGGTTGGTTTGTGGCTGGGACCCATGCCTTTCATTGAGGGCATCTTTCCAGTATGTAGCACCTTTAATTTTCCCTTTATTTTGTTTTCCTGTTATCCGTCTGGAGTTGGGACCCAGCTCCCTGTCCTGGCCAAGTTACGCTGCGTCTAGACATCCCATTTCAATTAGCACCTTTGATCTGAGCAATCCCGTATATTTACTTGGATGCTGAGACTCCCTTTTTCAGAAGGAGTGAATTTACGGAGAGTAGAGCCGCTCGGAGTCCCCAGAAGGAGCTGGCAAGGGAATGCATTCCACAGCCAATTGCAGGTGGACAGCCTGAGCAAGAACGCTTAACCCCTGTTAAACAGAGTGCAGAGAGACTCCCTCCCAAGCAGAGCATCCACCCACCCAGACTGCAATGGTGGAATAAACCGCTGTTATGTTCAGGGAAGAAAGGTGGGGTGCCCTTGTGGGGATCTGGAGTGGGGCTGCAGCTTCCCATATACATCCGGGGGGAGTCAGCTGCTGGCCAGAATTCATCCCTTCCCCTCCGCCCTTGGCGCACTGAATTAGATGTGTACCTGAGGACAGCAAGTCGGTGGCTAGTTAGAACTCTGCTAAATGGAGGATCACAGTCTGTATGGCAATGAGGAGGGGCTCTGCAGACATGCAGTTACTGTTTGCGAGTGAACTCCAAGCTTGGGTTTGACATGTATTAGCTAATTGTCTAATTCTTGCCCCATCTTATGCTGGCACGACCCTAGATCTTCACCAGTATAGATGTTGCCACAGTTAAAATTGTGAGAGGGAAGCACAGTGCACTGAATAACAGTATTTGTGTCCTTAATGAACTGAAGAAACTACTCAGGAAACTAAGACCTCTGTGCTGCTGGCAGGGACAAAGGCAGCTAGGGTTACATGCAGTCCAGGTACTCACCGGGTGAGTGTCCTCTCCACCCAGACCTATCAAACATGGTTTGGTTTTCTTCATTTTCTTCTCCCTCACTTGTGCATCCCTGCCCCCCAGGGTCCTGTGATGGGCACCACTTTTGAGTCATGTTCCTGGTTTACTGGGTTTTGATGCACTGGTTTTGAATGGACCCATGTTATCAGATATGATGAAAACCAGATGAAAAATTGATTGACAGTGATTTCATAGGCAGGCTGCACAACATCTTTAGTGTAATTTACTGCTCGTGATATTTGTGCTTGCGCTGAGCCTTAGGAGAGCCATGAATAAGACCAGGCCTTTATGAATGCTGTTTTATTACCCAAATTAGCAGTGGAGATGCTGAACATATCCAAGTTGATTTAAAGGTGTGCAAGTGAAAACATGAGCTAGAGCTTTAATGAAACAAACTCTTCTTACCCTATGCAAAAACCATTTGACTGACAGAATTAGGTCACACTTTATAGTAAGGATCCACTTATAAAGGCTAAATAAACAGTTAATAAATCAAATAGAAAGGAATAGTATGTGTTATAAGCACATCAGTAGAAGGTGTTGTAGATGATTATAATCTATGGTTATAAGCAGTCCCTTGACCTGCTGGACTTTAACAATTGACTACCCATTTATTTAAAACCCCTATTAATCATTTATTATCCTTTATCAACTATTTATAAATGGAACTTTTGTGTAAAGTGTGACTGAGAATCATTTGGCTTGCAGACTGCAGTGTGCGTGTGTAAACAAGGTATATGATAAGAAACACAGACCTCAATTCTGTATAACTTAAGATCAATACTGAATACATCCAAGGTCTGCATTGAATATTCTGTTAATGTTTTCTCGATATGAGCATAAAGAAGAAATAGTCTATCCTGCATATGATGAATTCAGGGTAACCTCTCTCTTTCTCTCGTTTCTAGTGACCTTCTCATGCGGGACAATCTGTTTGAAATCATAACGAGCTCCAGGACATTCTACATCCAGGTAAAATCATTCCTAGTTTAAGAGGACTTTGAAATGGTTAGATAACCTGTACTGCACATGAGCTCATAATGGGGACCGGTGTTTTGCTTTGAGTTTACTGTTTTAGGCAGTAAATTTAGCTCTTGACAGTTGCTCTGAGTCACATTCATCTAAACAGGATGCTCCCTGATGGGCTTTCAACCAGAAAACACAAGTAGGTGAGTTTGTATACAACTCAGCTCAACTTTGAGGCTCCAGTTGTGGGGGGGGGAGGGAGAAAAGAAAACTGCCGGGTGGTTTCAGTTCTCCAATTCAGTATATTTATAATTGCAGCTATTTGTATGGGCAGGAAGAAACATGTAGACACAAAAGTACCAACACTTAGATGAAAATCCAGATGGAGAAAGTCATGACTGAAAAACTTTTTCACTAGGAGGGTGGTGAAGCACTGGAATGGGTTACCTAGGGAGATGGTGGAATCTCCATCCTTAGAGGTTTTTAAGGTCAGGCTTGACAAAACCCTGGCTGGGATGATTTAGTGGGGGATTGGTCCTGCTTTGTGCAGGGGGTTGGACTAGATGACCTCCTGAGGTCTCTTACAACCCTGAGATTCTATGAGTCTATGACTGTCCTTGTCCTGAAGTTTGCTGTCCATCAGGCCAGCCCTCTTTCACTTCCTCAGGGTTGTTGATCATTCCCAGCTCCTGGTGCCACGTTGAGGATAGAAAGTGAACTGAAGGCTGGCTTGCAGCAGTGCAGGCTGCTTCCTGCTTTTTAGGGCAAATACTGATCCTAACACAATGATAATGCTCAAATATTTCCCTTTCCCTCTCCGGGGCACTGTGCAAACATTAGTGAATAGCAGCCGGTTATCCTCTACTTCTAGCCCCTCTTAACTCTTTCTTTCCACGCCAGTCAAAATGAATGCTTGGGAGGCTGTCAGCTCGATTCTCCATTACGTTGTTTTTTGAACAGTCATTTACACTAGTGCAGAGTGCTACCATCCCGATTTGGGAGCATTTTACATCTGCTTTGCAATGGCGTTAATGATCACATGAAGTAAACGGCAAGGAAGAGTCTGGCCCTGTACGTACAGAGCTATATACGTTTCAGAGTGGTAGCTGTGTTAGTCTGTATCAGCAAAAAGAACGAGGAGTCCTTGTGGCACCTTAGAGACTAAGTGGGATGAAGTGGGTTTTAGCCCACGGAAGCTTATGCCCAAATAAATTTGTTAGTCTCTAACAGAGCTATATAAATATCTCCTGAGTCTCCAGGGAGTGAAAGTAAAGAAAGGGCTGACAGGTAGGGAGCTGTAGTGTGTCTACACTGGGTAGTATTTACACATTGTGTCAATCTGCCAGAGAAATTTCAAAATGAACATCAGTTTAAAGACAATACTTCACTCCCCCAAACCCTTAGACTAATTCTCTCTCTCTCTCACACACACACACACACACACACACACACACACACACACCTCCAACTTCAGATGGGTGTTGTTGTTTTTTTCACCAGAGACCATGCAAAGCAGTGAGTACTGCACACCCACCAAGCAGTTACAACCAGCTGTCTTCTTTCACTGCAACAGTTCCAAGAGATGCAGCAGCCCTTGGGGACACATGTTCTGCAGCCCCCATCTGTGCACCTCTGAGAGCTTCTGCCCCAGCTTGTCTCCTGCCCCTGACTCAGGCCTCTGAGGCTTTGGGTGTATTTAGTCTATTCGCTGAGCTGCTCCCCAAAACAAAATAATTCAAACTGAGCAGTATCTGGCCTGAGCATTGCAAATGCCTGTGTAAGACAGGCGGGTCTAAGCCAGCTGCAGCTGCCTCTTGGACAAAATCCAGATCACTCGCCCCTGCAAGAGGCAGGAAATCCCACGCTACGCCTGGCCAGTTCGGGAGCCCAGTGTTTGCTCAGCACTTCGCTGCCGGGCTGGTAAGGGGTCAGTGGGCTGCTCTCAGCTGGTAAGGGGTCAGTGGGGAGAGGAAGTGCCCCATGTTGCTATCTAGTGCCCCCTCTGGCTGGCTGAAAGAGGGGCACTGAGGCGAGAGCTGAGTCCCCAGAGGGAAAGATGCTGCATGGTGAGGTCTCGGGGCAGTGGGAGAAGAGGCGACGGAGGGAAGCTCTCCATGCCCCAAGGAATCTTGCTGCCTGGAACGACTCATGTGAGAAGCTGCTCAGGGCCCTGTGGTCTTTGCTCCATTCAGAGCTGGGCGTCCTGTGGAGCTTCTGAATCACCCTAGAGGTGCCCACCAGCTTCTCCTTGCCTCGTACAGCCCAGAGCTAAATGTCCATCACCCTGAAATCTCTGTGCGGGGGCCTCTGTGTGAGGCGAGTCAGGGTGTGTCTCAGCCCCATTTCTGGTCAGACAGGCAACTCCATCACAAAAATCACCACCTCCACTCAGCCCCCACGTGGGACATCTTGGCAGAGAGACCAAGGGCTGGAGCGACTCCGTTCCCCTCTGACCCCAGGAACGATTGGTTCACGCTCCCTATAGGCCAAGGCTGGGGTGCTGAGGCAGAGTGTGGGGTGGTGATGGCAGGGTTTAGGGCAGCAGATAAGTTTGTGTGTTTGCTCTGCCACACCAAGCGAGTGACATCTTTAAAGGAAAATATCTTGGGGGCTCCCTGGAGACCCCTTGGCGTTGCCTTCTTGATGCATGAATGTGTTTAGCTACATGTGAGAAGCAAACAGGCAGCCAACTCCTTGTAGGAAAGCACCACCCCCGACTTGTTTTCACTGGCCAGCCTCCCTCTGCAGTACCAGTGGTAGGGATTATGAAGCGGTCTGGAAGTCAAGAGGGGAATCATCCCTAGTGCTTGTCGGAGAAGGGCACATCTTTATCCTCGGTGTGTTTCCTCCCAGCGTGAACCCTTCCGCAGGGAACGCTTACTTGTGGAGAGCAGGCTGCCATGGTGAACAGAGCGTCAAACCCTCTCTCTGGCCTTGTCTACATTGGGAAATTGACTTGCATAGCTATTACAAATAAGCTGTTTTGCAATAGCTATTCTGCAATGGCTCCCTGTGTGGATACTGTATTCTGGAATAAATGTCACTTTTATTCCAGAATTATTACTCTGCTTTGGAAGCAGACTGATTACTCTGGAATAAAAATCACTGTTGCTCCAAAATAGTCTCCACTTGGGAGCTATAGCTGTGCCAATCAGTTTCCTCCCATAGACAAGATCATGGACTCATCTAACAAGCTGCCTGATTTTGCTCTGCAGACTGGTTATTGCTTCAGCTTGTAAAGCCAGATGCCAGGCAGTTGTATCATCTCCGTTTTTGAAGCATAAAGTGCAGGCTCCAGAATCCAAATATGAGCCTTTGCAAAGCAGGAGCTCTGCAGGGCCCAGCTATTGCTCAGCCTCTCCAATTCACATCACCCGCCTTTTCCACCTCGGGCGTCTGTGTGCACGTCAGTCTCCAAAATGCCCTTCCAGATCCCACCTTGTTCATAACTGGGCTAGAATCCAGAGAACCCAGAAGGTCTGAGCATGCAACGCTCTTGCCTGTGGCTGCTCTGCAGGATTTTGTTCTCTGGGAGCCTGGCTATGGTTTGTGTATGTCGGAGAAAGGAGTTTACCTAGCAGAGAGAGAACCACTGTAATCAGGAGAGTGCCTGGTCTTTGGGGCCCCCCCGAAAGGTCCTCTGCCTGTGCAGAGCCATGGGGGGAGGTTCTTATTATCATAGAATTTTATTATCATAGACTATCAGGGTGGGAAGGGACCTCAGGAGGTCATCTAGTCCAACCCCCTGCTCAAAGTAGGACCAATCCCTAGACAGATTTTTGCCCCAGATCCCTAAATGTCCCCCTCAAGGATTGAACTCACAACCCTGGGTTTAGCAAGCCAAGGCTCAAACCACTGAGCTATCCCTCTGCAGCACAGAAACACAGAATTCAGTTTGGCCTGGAAAATCACTGGCCTTGATCAGCTTCTGCTTCAGCTGACAGGCTCAGCCTTAGTTTATATGTGGGTGCGTCTTGGCTCCAGTATGGTCTCCAGCTGCTCCCCGAAAGCAACATAAGGTGCCTCCTGCCATGCCGGGACTGAATAAACTACAACTGCAAAGCCCCAAACCCCTGCTGACATGGGAGCGTGGGACCTGAATACCAGTCTCCTGCAGGACAGCAAAATACAGCACTGTGCCTCTTGTCCTCTGGCCCAGATCGGGACTGCAGTGGGACCGCAACAATCGGAGATAGAAAAGCCTGTTTGGTCTCCTCATATCCCTCCTTCAGGGGGTGGTGCAGGACGGTTCCCTACAGTCTATTTTCTAATGCTTTGCCCAGCCTGGACTGCGCTTCCTCCCCTGGGCGGACGGGGGAGGGGGAGATCTCATGTTTTTTAAAGACTGTTTCCCTAGGTTGGTGTGGGGGCGGGTGAGGAGGCCATGCTTACTGAAATGTCTCTGCTCACTGCATTCTTTGTATAGCTCTTGCCCCCTGGTGGAGTTGGTTTGTAACTTACATTTTGTGGTTTTTTGGGGGGGGAAAATAGCCCTGTTTTGTTTTGTTATTTTTTAAAGAGGTTGGCCATATGGTGTTGTCTCATCAGACAAAAATCACCCTGTAGGAGAATTACAGCAGCGAGCTGCTATTAATGGATCTGATCCTGCAGAGTGTCGAGTGCCTCCTGAGGGCCCAATATGTGCTGATTTCCTAAGCTGTTGGGTTTGGATACCTTAGAAGTCAGGCTAAGCATGATTTGCTCACCCCTGAAGATTGTCTCATAAATGTAATCAAAAGTCAAGCCTTTTTGGTACATTTCTTGACTTTCCGAGTGGGGTGAAATCCTAATGACATGTGAAGCAATTGCACAGAAATTGAGCAGGGTTTTTATTTATAAAATAGATCTGGGCTGAATTAGGTCATAAGATATACGACCTAAGGAAAGCTTGTGACATGCTCTATATGTGGTACTTGTTAACATCAGAGATGCACTAGCCAGACCCCCTGAATAGTGTAGTTGAACTGTTGCTGCTCCAAGTGACTTGTAAAATGCAGGCAGAAATCTCATTTTTGGCTGGTATGTTTTGCAGGCAGACAGCCCTGAGGATATGCACAGCTGGATCAAAGCAATCACAGAGGCGATGCAGGCCCTGAAAAGCCGCCCAAGGGTAGGTCATATCCTTTCCTCTTCACATTTAGCATCAATTAAAGATCCATTATTTTTAAGCTGATGTGATTTATTTAGTGGCTTGTGCAAATGTTCAGTGAATTAGTCAGTTTCCAGGATGAGACCCTGCTGTCTCTGTATTTGTCTACCACTCGTCCAAAAAAAGTTTAAAAAACAACAACAAGAACTTAGGAGGAATCATTCAGTCCGGCTTGGCTATGCAGCAATGCTCCCTGAAGCCTGGGCAAAAGATTCAGCAACAGCAAAAGCTAACTGAACTCAGATTTGCATAGTTCACTTAATTCTCTTGTCCTTGCCTTGAAGCCTGAAGCATATACAGTGCTAAATTCCTGATCTCTAGAATCGTCCTCCAGGATGCTTAGAGCAATTTCTACAGGAACTAACTCCCATCTTTCCCCCTCTGCTCTGCCTGTCTTTTTGCAGGAAATGTCCTTTGCAAGATCCATTTCTTCTATGAGCAGGCCTGGGTGCTCCAATCTTTCAAGCTCCTTGATCCCCTCCTTGCCCCGAATGAGACAGCCCGGGGACGAGAGGAAAGCACTCTGCAAAACCCCTTCCACCCCATCCTGGCAGCCTTGGACACCAGTGCCGCAGCCAGGAGGGAAACAGCCCATGATAGAGGAGATGACTGGGCATATGAGAGACTCAGTGTTTGTGCCCTCATTCACAGAGTGTGATACTGGAGCCATGCAGCAGAGGCGTGTACGGCACAGATCTGAACCCCAGCACATTAAAGAGAAGCCATTTGCGTTTAACCTGGATGATGAGAACATCCGGACCTCTGATGTGTAACCAAACCCAGGCTCTTTTCGCCTTCAGTTGTGTTTTTTTTAACTGATGAACTCTGTTGATAGCAGTTTAATGCAAAGGTACCTTGATTCTACCCCAGACACATGCAGTGGTATCAGCTAGCCCGAGCCAGCATAGCGCGCCACTTGTGTAATAACTATTGCAATGTGATGTACTCTGTCTGCTGAAACAGAGCAGATTTTGGACTGAAAGAGCTGGTCTCCTCAGTACAAGTGTGGATAAGTGTGCTAAGTGCATTGGGCCAGATTAATCTCTGGTGAAACTCCATTTAATTACCCGGGATGAATTTGTCCTGTTTTTGCCAACTCTCACCAGTGACATGAGCTTTAGGTAGAACCACTTCCCTTGATAGTGTTGCTTTCCCAGAAAAGGAAGTGGAGGTCACATATTTCTAACAGTTCCCCTCTCCCCACCCCCCACCAAAAGCCCACCTTTAACAGCCCAGTTTCTTTCTGTACCACCAGGCTGCCAGTGGTGAGCATGAGAACTGAAGCAGCACTGGAGGAAGGCAATGAGAACTGTCAGTAGCCAAGGCAGCCCTTTGTTTTATTAGGAGGACACCACTGTGACTTGGTGATCTTAAACCCATTTTGTGCTCACTTTGTGCAGGCATAAATGACGACCGCACAGGGTGTAAGTTGGGAAGCATCAGACCCCGGTGTCTAACCTGACAAAACAGCACTACCTTTAGCAAATACCGTGGTTCTGAATTCTTGGGAATCATGCAGGATATGTAGGACAAGATATTGTCAAAGGCACAGAGGGCAGTTAGGTGCCCAGTTCTCATTGACTTTCAGTAGGAGATGGGTACTTAACTCCCCCATACAGGCCAAAAAGGAATGAGTGAGTCACACTAGGAAATCTGCTGTGTTTATAAAAAGAAAGAACACTGCAACTTTAAAACTGGTTTTCTAGGAGACCAGCTCTTCACAGTGGCGAACTAACAATGTATTAACAAATCTATTTTCTTTGTAGTAACTCCTTTTCTATCCACAGCCTTTACATGATGTCAGACTCTGGAAAAAGCTCCTTGTTCAGACCTATGTAACACTTCATGCATTGATGATAACAAACATGTTTCTTGGTATATTTATATTTTTTTTAAATGTGAGTCAAGGATAACACCACTTCTTTGCAGACTAGGTGTAACTGAATATCTGTGGCAAGAATATTCTCAGGTATGTATCCAATCTTGCATTGCATACACTTGGGCACAAAGATTTAATTAAAATGCCTGAATCTTGAAGTATTAAATAATATGTAGTGAAAGCAGAATATTTACAATGAAATTGGGATGATTTGGCCATCCAACCAGCATGCACTCTCGACCTTTACATGTAAATAAGCAGAACTCTTTTTTTTTTTAAGCAATGCAAACGTGGCATTAACCCATAACAAAACAAGCTGATGCACAAAGGGTATAAAACAATTTACAGCAGAGAGAGTGTTTGATCTTTTTCACCTAAGAAGTGGGTAAGTAATCACTCTCAGCTAGACACCACACAACTCTCTTTCCTGTCTCTTTATTTCCTGTGGGGGCTTTTAATAGCGGCTCAGGTTGTTCTGTGATTTTTCGAAGACTTTGTAAAGCCTGTACAAGGCAGGTGCACCTCTTACATCGCTATTTACAGGGCTTCAGTGGTTCATAGGCCTTTTGCCAGCCCTCTGTGTAGAGGGGAGTTTCACCCAGAACGAAAAGCTATCCAGTCTTTCCATTTGTGTGTCCAGCTGCTTCTGCACCAAGCCTTCTCCCCTCCCACCCTTACTCAGACAAAACCACCAGTGACTTCCTTGGGAATTTTGCCTGATTAAGCACAGAGGATGAGGTGCTGTTTATCTAAAAAGCAGCACATCTAGCTAGAAACCCTTATCCAAGGCTAAAGCAAGTTCACACCATCGTAAGTAATTAAAAGCATCCCTTGCTTTATTATTAAGACATTGCTGAATGGGTTGCAAGTTCCAGCTATTCGTAGTTTCAGTGCTACCTACACTCGTAGAAACTGACCTTCGTGAACAGAAGGCAGCGGCTGTAGATAATGGCCCCCAGTGAAGCCATGCTAGCGTTCTTACCACGGACTGTAGACTTGCTCTGAAGAGGGTTAGATGAGATGGTTAAAAGCTGGTGGGGACCTAGAACTCTGCCTATGCTAGCTGCTGCCTGTTAGCAAGCGTGAGAGATCTTTAAGGGGAAAAGAGGCTAGCGTAAACCCAGCTGAAGACTCCAAATGGAATTTCATGTCCTAAACCAGACATGTGCGTGCTCTTGCCATCTCTAATAAATTGAAGTTGATACCTCAGTCTTAAATGTTCCAATCATACTGCAGCAGCTGTAGGTTTGGGATCTCTTGGAGTGGTCTTGAGATAGCAAAGATTTCTACTTCTTTTTGTTGTCTGACCGTTGTCATTGGCTGTATGAAGCAATGCCATGTGCCCTACAAACTCTGCTTAATATTACTCCACTGGAGAAAATCCCTTTGTTTTGTCCTGGCCTGCACAGGATTTAACTGTTTTAAGAACTATATATAAGCCTGGTCCAAACTCAGTTTTGGGCCAAATGGGGCTTTATCATGGTTTGGCCCATGAGTATGGATGGGGCCAAATCACGTTATAACTAAACTGAAATAATAAGTTCTTGCTTCCATTTCTACCTGTACCAAAGGGTTTTTTGTAACCCACACAGCCAGCCAAAATCCATTCCAGCCCTGGCCAAAACCACGTTCAAACTGTACTTGAGCACAGCTGTTAAATAAGACTGAAAACCCTTGTGTAGAACAACAGTATCTGTCAATCTCAGGTTTTCGTAGGGCACCAGTCGCTGTGGTGTTTATGCTCTGATCGCTGTTACGCTGAGAGCTAGGATTGGAGGTGAGGACTCAAAGATTAACTTGGAACCTTTGCCACTGGGTCAGACCAAAGGTCCATCTAGCCCAGTATCCTGTCTTTCAACAGTGGCCAATGCCAGGTGCCCCAGTGGGAATGAACAGAACAGGGAATCATCAAGTGATCCATCCCCTGTCACCCATTCCCAGCTTCTAGCAAACAGAGGCTAGGGACACCATCCCTGCCCCTCCTGGCTAATAGCCATTGATGGACCTATCATCCATGAATTTATCTAGTTCTTTTTTGAACCCTGTTATAGACTTGGCCTTCACAACATCCTCTGGTAAGGAGTTCCACAGGTTGACTGTGCATTGTGTGAAGAAATACTTCCTTTTGTTTGCTTTAAACCTGCTGCCTATTAATTTCATTGGGTGACCCCTAGTCCTTGTGTTATGAGTAAACAACACTTCCTTATTTACTTTCTCCACACCAGTCATGATTTTATAGACGTCAATCATATCCCCCCTTTACCCTGATGGTTCAGAATCAGGTGTGTGCATAATGTGTGCTACTGTAATACCAACAAAAGTGACCACTAGAAGCATGGGCTACAATTTTTATGACTGGGGGAGGGGAGGGGAATTCTCTTTCTAAACAATGGACTTCAGACACATATCCCTGGCTCCGTCAATGTACATTTAAAAGACCAATGAGGGTTTGCCTAATAAGAAGGGAGGATAGCTTAAAAATCTGTACATACTGACTCACCACAGAATGAAATTAAAGTAGCGCTTGCATGCATTGCTTAAGCCCCATATTTTCAGATTCTCGTAGTGTTGAGGATGCACTGTTTTTGGAGAGAAAGGCCAGTTTTAGAATTTTTAAAGTACTATCTGGTGAATTCAAATAGGTCAACATGACTGTAATACAGCCTGAATGTAGTTGCACCTTTTGTCTTCGTGGACACAGCTGGCTAGAGCACGATTTAATAATGTTACATGCCTGGGGGGACAGACTTCAGGAATCCATGCCGAATTCTTTTACTTTTATATTTCAGTTCTAGTCAAAACAACTAAGTACAAATGTATACTTTTATATATCCTGCCAACCTATTTAAAATATTGAATGGAGTCCCCCACTTCAGGTCAATCGGTTCAAACAATGGTTCTATGGGAGACACTGGGAAATGTTGAAACAATGAATATGAATTGGATCCATGTAAATGGTACAGCAAAAGTTATATTACTGAACTGTAGGAGTCTACATTTGGATTGGTTTTTTTTTCCCCTTTGGCTTTATTTGCACTAGATTTTCTCTTTTTATACTGTTGTGGGTTTTGTTTTGTTTTTTCAGCTGACCTGCTGTTTAGCTAATAAAACATCCGGTTTTGACTGTATGTAACCATTTGATGTGATTGTGAATATAAAGCCCTGAGTGGCATCACTCAGACTTACTGCCATGAGGGAGCCCTGTGTCTGAGAACATTAATTACAGGGGGACCATAGTTAAGGTTATGCAAAGCTCTGAAGATGTAAAGTGCCATAAAGATGCTAAGTATTTCTAATGAATTATTGTTGAAAGGGGTCCAAAGGCCTGGAATGGCAAAGTCTGAGTTTATTGCACAGATATGATTGATTATCCAAGGGAGAAGCTACCAGTGGCTTTAGTACTATTGTTACATCCCCTTTTCTCTGTCTTCTCCCCCACCCATAACCTCAAAATGGCATTGAGACTGGTTCCAAGGCCACAGGATAGTGACAGATAAAGATGTGTCTTGGAAACTAATTCATGTTCACTGTGCTAAAATAGTGCCACCCACCATTCATGTTATTCACCCCAGATCTGGTATCCATCCCTTGTATACATTGAATTCTCACAAAATGGAATGGACAACATGGTAGAGGCCAAACAGCTTGATCAATGTGAAGCTTTGCAGCACTTTTTATTAACTAATATATTTTAAAATGTGTGTTTGCCCCCTTTGCGGAGTCTTGCTTTTGTACAGATGCATAGTCGTGCTATTTACCACTGGGGTCTTGCAAGGACCACCTTGAAAATGAAGTGTGGACCACAAAGATTAATTTCTCCAGATTTAGTAGACAAATGGGTGCAGACTTAAGGTAACTTGAATGGAAAGAATGGTCTGAGAAAATGTTCGTCATTTTTCTTCTGTTTGTATTTTATATGAAGGCACCAAAATGGCTTCAGCCATTTTTGTAAATATTTGCCGTGTATTTCAAGTGCCCTTAGACTGGGGTGCCTCTACTTAGAGGTACTCACACCTAACCCGTATTAGGGGTTACATGAGACTAGAACCTCTTGATCATGTGACATGTTGATATTAACTAATGTGGGATGAAACGTCTGGTTTTTTTTTTTCCCCAAAGGAAAGTATGAGCAATAAGTTTCCATGTGACATTCCAGTCATTTTTTCAGGCTAGAAGCTGGCGCAGAGATTGGGATGTTGAATATATTTTGGGGTAACACACAATTAGTATCAGAGGGGTAGCCGTATTAGTCTGAATCTGTAAAAAGCAACAGAGGGTCCTGTGGCACCTTTAAGACTAACAGAACACAATTAGTAAAGAGCCTACAATATTTTCTACAGATTTTTCCCTCTTTCCTAGCAGTCCCCAAACAGTTTCTTAGAGTGAAGTTTTGAGTTACAGATGTGGCAAGATTGAATGAAGTGGAAGTTTGGAATACAAACAATACGTCATTAGAACTTGGACTTTTGTTTAATTCTTTTGTGAGCTGCTTGTGCATTTGATTGTGATATTTGCACCAATAATTCTCAGCTGTGAATTGCACTTGTGTAAAGATGACTTTTGGGTGCATGAAAAATCTTCTAATGATACAATACTTCTCACCTTGTAGTGAAAAAATTTTGTTGCTTGTTTTGTAGTAAAAAAAACCTGTGTGAAATCTTTAAAGAATGTGCTATGTGTTTTTTATTTGTATTTTACCATTATCACTTTTTAAGCCCTTTCCAAGATAAATGCAATGGCTAACATATGTAAGTACCCATCCATAATGTGTAGGAAAAAAGCAGAGTTCTCATAAGTGACTTCAATCTGAATGATATATGCTGGAAGTCTCAATAAAATGTCCTTGGAATTTCTACAAGTTTTACAGATGTCAATTTCCTAACTCAAAAAGTATTACATCAAACATGGGAAAATTCTATATTAGACCTCATCTTAACAGATAAATAGTAATTGATCACAGAACTAAAAGTAGCTTAGGTGAAAGTGATAGTGACTTGATTACATTTGTTAGGTGAAAAAAAATAAAAGTCCAAACTAATAACATATACAGTTGGTGCTTTTAGAAAGGGCCAGTTTCACAAAGTTGAAAACAATTGGGTCAAATCAGTTGTGAGAAAAAAATTAAACACACAAATGTGAATAATGATTGGGAACTGTTTAAGAACGTCTTACTAGATGCATAAAAAGCCACAAATGAGAAAGAAGGCCACACGGGTTAAAAAAAACCCAACCTGGCTTAGAAGAGAAGTGAAAGCATATATATATATATATAGAGAGAGAGAGAGGGAGGGAGAGAAGCATATTTTAATCTATCTATATTTATAGATAGATATAACAGATGGAAGAAGGGGGAA